CTCGCTTTTTCTTTTCTCTCTCTCTCTCTCTCTCTCTCTCTCTCTCTCTCTCTCTCTCTCTCTCTTTCATTCTCCAATTCTCTCTCTCTCTATGTATATATATATATATATGTATGTGTCTCTCTCTTTACATGTTTCTTTCACCTTTCTTCTCTCTCTCTTCCCCACCTTCACACACCCACACTACAACACACACACACACACACACACACACACACATTCTCACACACACACACTCACACACACACGCGCGCACACACACACACATACACACACACTCACGCACATGTAAACATGTGCTTACAAACGTGCAAACACACACAGACAGACATATACACACATAAACACACTCTCTCTTGTACATACACACACTATCATCTTTGTTTTTTTCTTCCTATATTCCCTCAAGGATAAACAGGTTCAAATTAAACTTGGCATTTCCTTTCTTTTGTTGATTTAGTTTCTGTTTTCTTCTTTTTAAAAATTCTCTCTAAATGTTAACATTTTTTCTCCACAGATATTCTGAACAACAGCCATTCCTGTGACAGTTGAACTGCACAGATAAAAGTATCACCTGTGCTAGTGGAGCTGGAAGAAACTAGCCGATGGTCAATTGCCTGCTTTTCCTTTTCTTCAACTTCGAATTTTGAGCGGAAGGAAGGAAAGGGGAGAAAGAGAGTTAACTGACACTCACTCTCTCGATCGGCCTTCTGTGATTTCTGCCACAGATATCTTGATATCTTCAGTTCCAGCCAAAACTGCCTGTCCCTGAGTTTCGGCTGTTTTTTTTTTGTATCTTTGTATATTAAACATTAAGGTAAGAACTGAGATGAGGCACAATATATATTAATGCTTTAACAACTGGAATTTTTGGCTGGATAGTATTTATAATTTGAATATCACCTGCCTTACGCCATTTTGGAAAGTGATATAATAATGTGTCTCGGTGCGATGGTATCGGGCACTCGTCAATTTTTGGGTAATGGGGTTATTGGTATTATCTTAAAGCCTGTTCATTTGCCTTCCTTGTGGAGATAAAAATATCCATCTTTGTTGAATAGAAGTAAAAATATTTGCCATTGAAGGAGGTGAGAGTCGCTTGGTTTCAGAGGTAAAATTAGCGAGAAAATGGCAGCCAAAGTTTGGTAACTTACATAGCCTGAGAGTCCTTGGAAACTGAAAATTTACATTTTTTTAATCGTTTTTCGGTAAATTTCACACAAAAGCATGTTTTTAAATGGTCACAATAGGTGTTGAGCCAGAAAAAAGATAGGTAGAACAAAATGGCCTACAGGCCAAAACAATGCAGATCACTTTTATTTCATTATTTTGACGAGTGCCTGATTTCACCACGATGCCTCACATATTATTATGAAGGAATCTTACACTTAACAGAGGATATATGTGTGTGTTTGCCTGGAAAGAGGTCCCATGCAGTTGTCGGAAATCTTTTATATTGAAATAAGGGCATATTGTTGTAGCAAATGTAATGCTGAACACGGTGACTAAAATATTTTTCTAATATATCTTGAGTAGTTTTAAACATAAGCCACATTTTGTGATACAGTGTATAAAAACAAAGTTTAGAGAAAAAAATTACTTTTCTAGCACATTTTTAACCTTTGGTGAAGTACAGCCTGTCGCAAAAATAACTAATAAAAAATTATTAATTTAGACTTAAAATCTAAAAAATCCTTTCAATGTGTTATTCAGAAATGGTTTAACGTGTGTTTGTCAGAGGGAACAAAACTTTTTACCAGGAACGACTTTTTTGACTTTTTCACAGCGTTGCTAAAAATAGCTTTGCCCACAACTTGGACCTTTCCCCAATCACACACACACACACACACATATTATTATTTTGGACAAACTTTACAGAACTGAACATAGTTGTTTATACTTGATACATGATATTGTTGGTGTCCTGCCATGTTTAAATTACATAGTATATATCTGCACATTATCTACTTGATGCTGGGCTTACTACCGAAAGGTCATGGGGTTCAAACTACACCGTGGTCCCGATGTTGTTTCTTTGGGAAAGGCACACTACATAAATTTTCTTTACCTCTTTCAGGTGGGAATCGGTACCTGGCTATAGATGGCAAGGGATATTGTCAGTTTATTAGTGTTTGAGCGCTTAATGGGCTGCTTGCTCTGTATTCTTCCCAAGAAGTTGAGAATGTTTCCGAGTGTTCTAGGATCTGCTTGGGTTATAATGTGGATTGTAAAGTTCATAGAACTTGCGTTTGATCAGGGATATGCTCTATGCAGGTGCTATTTATTGTTATAATTACATCATTATCGTTCTTCTTCTTCTTCTTCTTCTTCTTCTTCTTCTTCTTCTTCTTCTTCTTCTTCTTCTTCTTCTTCTTCTTCTTCTTCTTCTTCC